GAACAATTGATGTTCACTTAATCCCTGTCCCATAATTTCGCTGCCCTTACCTCCTCTCGTGCCTCTCTCACAGGGCAGGTAATCCCGTGGCGGCAGCTCCGTGCCTACCTCACAGGGTGAATAGTCCTGTGGCTGGCAACAATGCGAGTCTTCACTCGTGGTCCCGCACTCATGGTGACTTAATGGATGGACCGGCCTGTCACTTCTAGTGGGCAGCGTTCATCGTCCATCCCAGTTCCTGGGTCCCATGTTTGGGCGCCAATTATGCCCCGGTCCACGGGGATCTTCAACAGTGACCATAGGAGGGGAAGAAAGAGAATGGGGGGAGGGCAGGAGGCACAAAAGCAGGAAAAAAAGTCGAGGATCTCCACTCAAGTCTTCATTTTATTGAAAGCATTCACAGTTTATATAGAGGAACACAATGGGGGGAGGAGAAGTATGCAATGGGGGAGACTAACATGTCGTTTCCAGTAAGCCGAAAGTTATCTGGTGAACAGAAACTTAGCAGGGTGCTCCCACTAAACCGAAACCTATCTTCCCAGGGTGGGGTGAACCGAAACCTATCCTCCTAGGGAGGTGCAACATGTCCAAACATGTTCTTAGAGAATTACAAAATGGCTTCAGCTAGGTAGAACAAGCGGCTCAGCCCCGAGCAAAACTCAGCCTGCACATCTGGCAGTTCTCTGGAGATGTACCGTTCCACTCACGTAGGGATCATTTTCAGCTGAATCTTGCTTACATTTGATATCACTTATATTGGGCAATAATTCCCACTCTTTTGCATTACCATTCTTTGGAATGGGAACAAATATAGATCTCTTCCAGTCAGTTGGCCAAGTGGTTGTTCTCCAGTTTTCTTGGCAGAACTTGGTGAGCACATCCTGGGTAGACTCTTATTTTTTGTGACGTCTTTCTGAGCTGCACCAACATCTTCCTTCATCAGCACAGGCTCTTGAACATGAAATTCTTCCATATCAGCCAAATCCTTTTGGTAGAGTGACTCTGTATACTCCTTCCATCTTCTTTTAATGCTTCCTGAGTCATTTCATATTTTGTCCAAAGCATTCTTAGGTATTGCAAATCGAGGCATGAATTTGTTCTTCAGGTCTTCAGTTTAAGAAATGCTGAGCGAGTTCAGCACTTTTAATTTTCTGACTCTAACTCTTTGCATATTTCATGATACTTTCCTTCGTCTTCCAGTGATGCCCTTTGAAATGTTCTGTTTAGCTTCTTGATCTCTTGATTCTTCTCTTTTTTTGGCTTCTACGTGCTCAAGGGCAATATTCAGAGTTCCTCTCTCATTCTCCTTGGATTTTTCTTCCTCCTTTCCCTTTATAATGAGACCTTTTGCATTCTTCATGCATGATGTTCATGATATCCTCCCACAGCTCATCTCCTCTTTCCTTTTGGAGTCCAGGACTCAAACAGGTTCCTGAGATGGTTTTGAAACTAAAGAGACAGAGACTCAAGATCAAATGTTGATTCCTATGGATTTGATTACAATGTCGTCTACTTGAGCCTGAACTTGCACAGGAGTCGTTGGTGGTCTCTAACACAACCAGCACCTGTGCTAGTTTTCACAGCTGATTCACGTCCCATTGTAAGGCACTCCATTTTGCTAATACCTAGTCTTGTCAATATTTTTGTGTTCCATTTTTTCTCAACAGTATCCAATTTTCCAACGTTCACACATTTCACATTCCAGTCACTACTGTCTGCTCACACCTGCGCCGCCTTCTTAGTGTTTCCCTATGTCAGGTTTCACTCTGAGTTGCCATGTTGGAGGGGAGGAGGTAGTTTGTGTTAGGGTTGGTTTAGACAGGCCTGCACTCTTGGGAAGAGCTTACATGTTACTGATCGTATTGCTAGGTCAATTTACTTTTGTGAAGTTGGTAAAGGTCAGATATAGCCGTCTCTAGGTGGCCCTTGCTATTTTTACAGATAAAAATCAACACTGACGGATACAATTAGCTTTTCGTAACATGTCTGCAAACTCTTCCATTGTTCACAGGGCTCACAAATGCATATTGTTAGAAAAGTGACTGGGCAATTCTACTTTGGGATCACAGAAAACGGATCGTCAGATTCAAATTCAAGAACCAATCCTTGAGAAAAAGATGAAAACAATCTACTTCAATTAGTAAGTGTGACCTTGGAAAGTCAATAGGAACTTGGTACTGTCATATTGGACTCCCAACACTTTGAATTCACTTGATGACAATGTGTTTGCCTTTCCTTTGTGGACACTTAGAAGGATCTCAGAAAACAGGCTGGAGGATCTCTTTCCCATAACGTACAGCTTTAGAAACAAGAGAGAACAAAAATTTGTACAACAGCTTGGCCAGAATATAAAAGTTGGTCCATAGCAGCAGCGGCAAGCCAACTGATTCCCAAAAGTTGATCTCATTTTTATTGTTCTTTTCGTGTGTATAGATGCCACCTTTCTCCACCCACAGCAGCCACTGCCAGGGTTAAATGTAGTCTGTAAAGGGAGGTCATTCCCATGGGAAGCCCCTTTCGAGGACAACTGAGGGACATGGGATATAAATAGAGTCTCGGGGAGTCTTCAATACAGTTAAGTCTTCCTTCGTGTAAAAGAACCAACTTCCTTTTCTGCAAGATTGCCCAAAGCTGATAGAACAAAGCACTGCTCAGTATAAGTTTTTAGGTTTCATTTATGTGGGCGAAAATATTTATTTTGCATTCGAATGAATACATTTTACACCTCTGGGATTTCACAGAAAGTTTACAAAATACCCTGGCTTCACAGACAAGCACTGAGAGGTAGTATGAATGATACCAGGTGCGTGTGTACAATAATGAAGCAAACTTCCTGCATATTGCTATTGCAAACTTCTTGCATTTTGCTACTGACTTAACAGGTCCTCAGTGGGTGGATTCTTCTATGTTTACTGAGTTGACGTGAGTGCCTAAACGTTGCCCCACATTCTTGACATTCAAATGGTCTGTCTCCTGTGTGAATTCTACTATGTTTAGTGAGGCCACCTGAGAAGGAAAATGTTCTTCCACATTCCTGACATTCATAAGGTCTCTCTCCTGTATGAATCCTTCTATGTTGAATAAGGTTATTTGAGCAGGAAAATGTTTTTCCACATTCCTTACATTCATAAGGTTTCTATCTTGTGTGAATTCTTCTATGTGAAATGAGGTTACTTGAGCAGGTAAACCTTTTCCCACATTCCTTACATTCATAAGGTTTCTCTCCTGTGTGAATTCTTCTGTGCTCAATGAGTTTACCTGATTGAGAAAACGTTTTCCGGCATTGCTTACATTCATAAGGTTTCTCTCCTATATGAATTCTTCTATGTCGAATGAGGCAACTTGAGCAGGAAAACCTTTTCCCACATTCCTTACATTCATAAGGTTTCTCTCCTGTGTGCACTCTACGATGTTCCATGAGGCAACGTGAGACTGAAGATGTTTTCCCGCATTCCTGACATTCGTAACGTTTCTCTCCTTTATGAATTCTTCTATGTTGAATGAGGCAACGTGAGCGGGAAAAACTTTCCCACATTCCTTACATTCACAAGGTTTCTATCCTGTACGAATTCTTTTATGAGAAATTAGTTTACTTGATTGAGAAAATGTTTTCCCACATTCCTTACATTCATAAGTTTTCTCTCCTGTGTGCATTCTACGATGTTCCGTGAGGTAACGTGAGACTGAAAATGTTTTCCCACATTCCTGACATTCGTAAGGTTTCTCTCCTGTATGAATTTTTCTATGTCGAATAAGTTTACTTGCTTGAGAAAATGTTTTCCCACATTCCCTACATTCATAAGGTTTCCTTCGTGTAAAAGAACCAACTTCCTTTTCTGCAAGATTGCCCAAAGTTGATAGAACAAAGCACTGCTCAGTATAAGTTTTTAGGTTTCATTTATTTGGGTGGAAATATTTATTTTGCATTCGACCAAATACATTTTACACCTCTGGGATTTCAAAGACAATTTACAAAATACCCTGGCTTCACAGACAAGCACTGATAGGTAGTACAAATGATACCAATTAAGTGTGTACAATAATGAGGCAAACTTTTGCATATTGTTATTGCAAACTCTTTGGCTTTTGCTACTGCCTTAACGGGTCTTCAGTGAGTGGATTCTTCGATGGTTACTGAGCTGACGTCAGCACCGAAACGTTGCCCCACATTCTTGACATTCAAATAGTCTGTCTCCTGTGTGAATTCTACTATGTTTAGCGAGGTCACCTGATTGTGTAAATGTTTTTCCACATTCCTTACATTCATAAGGTTTCTCTCTTGTGTGAATTATTTTATGTTGAATGAGGCTATGTGAGCGAGAAAATGTTTTCCCACATTCCTTACATTCATAAGGTTTCTCTCCTGTATGAATTCCATGAGAAAAGAGTCCACTTGACTGAGAAAATGTTTTCCCACTTTGCTTACATTCATAAGGTTTCTCTCCTGTATGAATTCTTCTATGTTGAATGAGGTTATTTGAGCAAGAAAATGTTTTCCCACATTCCTTACATTCATAAGGTTTCTCTCCTGTATGAATTCTTCTATGAGAAATGAGTCCACTTGAATGAGAAAATGTTTTCCCACATTCCTTACATTCATAAGATTTCTCTCCTGCATGAATTCTTCCATGTTGAATGAGGTTATATGACTGGGAAAACCTTTTCCCACATTCCTTACATTCATAAGGTTTCTCTCCTGTATGAATTCTTTTATGTTGAGTGAAGCCATAGGAGCAGGAAAAACTTTTCCCACATTCCTTACATTCATAAGGTTTCTCTCCTGTATGAATTCTTTTATGT